TTGATGTTGTTCACTCCCTCTGTAATCCCCTCCATTGATCTCGCTCGACAGGTTCTAGACACATAAAAACCCTAAAATCCCAAAAAACTTCCTTCTATACGGATTGGAACAGGTGGCTAATCAAAAGCGGTACCGTTTTGCTCTGGTGGTGCTTCTGCTTCCCTCGCGCGCTTATATTTTGGGACACAGGTAAACTTTCCTAAGCTTGAGCCTTTATATTTGACTTTTTCTTTTTTCATTTTGCGTATTTACATCATCGCTTTGGTTTCTGGGAGTGTGTATCTCTTATGTTTCTGCCATGGTGTCTAAATTTTTTGGTAAATGTTAGTATTGTCTATTACCTGTTTGACAAAATGCCTCATCGAAAATTTTTCCTATGATACTAACAAATGACTAGCAGAAGTTATGCTTTTTGAATTTTTTTTGAAATTTTTACATTACAAATTGGTTTTTTGCAACTGGGTTTTCATTTTGATTAGCAGATTTCCAAGTTCAAAATTTGAAGGAAAGCGGAGAATGTTCTATCTTAGCTTAATTGAGCACACATTGCGTTTGCCTCCTCATCTTCTTAACACTCCACTCGATGAAGCTCTTAAGATGGAGCTTGAAAAACTTTTCTTAGATAAGGTTGGTGGGATTCCTTTGGTAATTTTCCATGTTATGCTTTGTTTCCTTGTTTTTAGCTCTCTTTTTTTTTTTCTTTTTCTTTTTTTTTTTTGGCTTTTGGGTATTCTATGTTTGACAATGTTAACGTTGTGGGTAATGAAGGTTATTGCAAACTTGGGACTTTGTATCTCAGTATATGATATCAGGTCAATTAAAGGTGGATTTATCTTTCCGGGAGATGGTGCTTCGACATACACGGTATGCTGACCATTTTTCTTAATAGTTTTCTTAAGAATTGTGTTTTTTCCAAGGACTTGAATGCTTTATTTCCATAGCCTTTTGCCCAATTCTCCGAAAGATGAAAAAGTGACAGGTCAAGGGAAAAGACAAGGCCCTTTGTGCATGTGTTTGAGCATGGTTTGGGTTTTCTTTAAACATTAATAAGAAAAATTAGCTGACTTTGACAAAACATCAATAACTTGATGAGAAAATTAGCTCATACATCTGGCAATGAATTAGCTCAGAGATTGTAACTTAGCCCTGAAGTAATATAGTCCATGAGGAGAATGAGGAAGATTTTGTATTTTTTCTTAAAGTTTCTGTACAAAGTATTGTCTTTGTGACATTTGCTAAGGGTTTAGGGTTTGTTGTCCTTTTACTGAATTTCCTTATTGCAAATTTTGGTTTTGAGTTGTTTCATTCACCAATTTTAAGTGTTACATGTTATGTCATCCATAATTTTTATGTTAGAATATTATGGGATGTTCTTTTTTTTACCTGTCCATGAAAGTTTGTATTAAAATTGATGTGCATAAATAATCTGAGATTTGAGTAATCAACCATTCTATAAACTAACATTCTTGTTTTGCTATGTTGCAGGTGGAGTTCAGATTGATAGTGTTTCGTCCATTTGTGGGTGAGATTATTCTTGCAAAACTGAAAGAATCAGATGCCAATGGTTTGCGCTGTATGTCCTACAAACACATCTGCATATTTGAGATTTGACTAATTTCTGTGGTTTCTAAAGAATCAGATGCCAATGGTTTTAGTGTTTCCCTAAACCTTTTTTGTAAGGGTCCTTTTTCTTGATGTGCTCATCCTCTCTTGTGATGCTCTTTCTGAATCACTATGAATTAGATTATTCACAACACGTGCTTATTTATCTCAATTGTATAATTTGCAGTGTCCCTTGGATTTTTTGATGATATTTACATACCTGTCCATCTTTTGCCAAGTCCAAACCACTTTGAGCTTTATCCTAATAGTAGGTAGGTAAGAGTCCGTGCCAAGTTTATTGTACTCTGATGGCATCAAAAGTATAACTCTCTATACTTAATCAATTTTTTCACTATTTCTATTTCTTGTATCATTTTATCATTTATGTTTACCGGTAATAATACAATTCTACACTGTTTTGAGGATTGCAGGACCCAAGGCAGGTGGATATGGGAGTATGGAGAAGAAGAAAACCAATTTGTTATTGATGGAGCAGACCAGGTTTCGTTGCTATAATTTTGTACTACAAATGAGCTCTTATTTTCATATAACTATTAACTTAAGGTTTTTGGGTTGCAGATCAAATTTCGAGTTCACAGTGTTATTTATCCTTCAATTCCTGTTGAGCAACCACAAAATTCAAAGCCATTTGCCCCTATGGTGATTACTGTGAGTTCAGCTTTCAAAATGCTTCTTATATTAATTCCTTTTCTCTTTTTGAGGCATTCAAACCATATTCTTTTGTTCTTAAGAAGAGCTTTCTTGTTGTCTCCAATAATGTTGGTTTCTTTAGAAAAAGCACCAATGCTAGAGCTCAGTTCTATGCCCAAGATTTATATAGAATGCATAAAAGAGAACCTTTGGCTTGACCTCTTTACACTAAATTCTGAAGTTTACAAACTTGAAAAGTGATGCAAAGTTATTACCGAACAATCCACCACTGTCTCACAACCTTCCAGTTTTTCTCTTGAGATCATGTGATGCTTTTATGTTATTTGCTTCCAATGGAGTTTGTTATGTTTATACTCTGTAGGTTGCTCTTGCTTCCCCCAGAGGGTTCGGTTCCATTGTTTTTGTACACTCTTGCTATGCATTCTCCTATTTATAAACTATGAAAATATCTGTGTATTGACTCTTAATTTCTGTCTCTCTCTGTTGGTATTGAGAAGTCTAATTCTTGAATTTCTAACTCTCTCTTTTACAGGGTTCAATCGATTGTGATGGTCTTGGCCCTGTTTCATGGTGGGAAGAAGCGGAAGTACTTGAGGAATAATATTGAGTTCCTTTTCATTTTGAATATGGGTTTTGAAACTGGTCTTGAGCCTGTTTCATTGTATGAACTCGAACGTATGAGTTTGGAAACTGAAACAGAAATTAGCGGTTATTTTAGTTTTCCCATAAAGCTTCCTGTCTTCAGTGTAAAATATTTATTCGACATTGAGATTGCACCAGATGCTTAACTTGAACTGTCTTCTACCTGTTCTTTCATTTCTGATATGCTTAACCTTTATCCATCGATGGAGGGGTGAGCCCCTAATATCACGGAGCTTTGGCCTCTATCAACGATTATTAGAAGCATAGTTTGCGCAACACGAATTGCATTCACTTTTTAGCATGCATGGAAAAATTATTTTATAATTTGGTTATATCAAATTATAAAACACAAATTATAATTTTTTTAAAAACATACATTATTTTTTATCTTTCATATTTTGGATTGATTTTTCTTACTTTCTTTAAGACAGGTTAAAAACTTTTATGCTTTTGAACATTGAAAAATTATAGGAAAATGATAAAATTTTTTAAATAATTGGTGAAAACTGAATTCTTAATCAATTAAATTTAAATATTAGGGCTTAGGAAGTAAATTATTAACTAAATTTAAACACTGAAGTCTAGGACGAAGCATTAAGCTCGAAGATCGATTGAGGTTAAAAACTTTTTTTTGATAAAATAAAGAAAAACAAAATATATCAAAGAAAGTGAAAGGCAATCTAAATTGTAGAGAGTTGCACAAGTTAAATATGATGTTTGGATTATATTCCAAATAAATGTTTGTAGCATTGCAATGCATGGCACCAATGTTGAAAATTCAAAACAGAAATAAAAAACCTATTTTTCTAATATGCGCTGGCACCCGGCAGGCAAGACCGCCGCCGAAGATGCCGCCCCCATATCTGCCACCTAACGCTAATCCCTTCCGTCAGATATTCGAGTGGACCCACGCCCCGCCGCCGCACAAACCATAGTGTGTATAAATTGAAGCCGTAAGAGCGATAAAAGCAGAACAAAACAGAAAATCATAGACAGCAACGCAATGGCCACAACTTCTCTCACCACCCCGAAGCTCTCTTCTCCCACCATCCAAACGCTCTGCAGAAGTCTCCCTATCTCAGTTTCATTTCCCGGAACCCTAAATTTTCTCTCCCGCTCTCCCTTCCGATCAATCTCTCGCTCTCACCACTATCAGCATCAACGCCGCCAACACCTCGTCACTCGTGCAGAGTCTGAAAACGCCGCCGAGCCACCGCGGCACTATGACTTCGACCTCTTCACCATCGGCGCTGGTAGCGGCGGTGTCCGTGCCTCTCGCTTCGCAGCCAATTTTGGAGCTTCAGTTGCAGTTTGCGAGCTTCCTTTCTCGACCAT